CACATGAGTTGGCTGCCTCTTTTCTGGAAGAACTGGCAAAACGTGGAGACATCTATTTGCAGGATGAACTAGTTGACCATGCAGTGAAAATTTCGGCTGAATCACAGCCAAGACGTACGAAAGGGCCACTCCTCCTTTCTGAGTTCAAATCGAAGGTGGCCATTGAATGTGTGGAAGATGACAATCCGCCACTTTGCATTCCAGAGGATGCAAAACCACCGTGGCAGGGCATTCCTGTTGGTGCGAAGAGACTTGACCTGCAGCCGGTTAGTGATCGAACAGGGGGTAGTGGCCGTCTGAAGGCAATTTACGGGGTCTATTTTTCCCCTCAGGAATTTGTGCAGCGTGTGCAACAACTGACACATCCATTCGATGTGCCACTCCCTTTGGATGAGTCAAACATGGAATCGATTGTTTTCACTTTGGAAAGAGGCCCTGCTGGAGTAGCAAAGCACAGAGCGGACATGCTGCAGCATTACATTGGGCGTGCAAGAGCTCTACAACAAGACGAGTTAAAGTTGCACGAGACGCTGAACGAGTCAATTCAACCGGTGATGGCGACTAAACGCCTCTTGCTGTTCAAAGAAATGATGGCTGATGCGGGTGTAACAGATCCCTTGCTTTTTGAAGAGCTTTGCAATGGTTTCAGGCTGGTAGGTGATTTATCCCCATCTGGTCAATTTCCCCCGCAGTGGAAGCCAGCAGTGTTAGGGATTGAACAGCTCAGACAAACTGCAGTCTGGGCTCAGCGTGCAGTGGTTGGGTCGTGCAAACGGGTCTTAGAAGACTCAGAGATCGCTGCAGCAGTTTGGCAAGAGACGATGGAGCAGGCAGCAGAAGACAAGCGTTGGGTCAGAGGTCCATTTTCTTCTGAGGAAATTACTGCAAAGCATGGGAAGCACTGGATCCCATCAAGGCGCTTTGGAGTGCGCCAAAGTGGAAAGATTCGCTCAGTGGACGATTTTAGTCAATTCTTAGTGAACTCCACGGTTACATGTCATGAGAAGATCGACTTGGAGGGCATCGACCATATTTGTGCGACAGCTCGCTTTTTTCTTGGAGCTATGAGAGACGAGCATCGTTGGCGCATTCCTGGTGAAGATGGTGTTTCATCTGGGTCTATAGCAGCAGAGTGGCGTTCAACGAAGTCCAGGGACTTGGTAGGGCGCTGCTTGGATTTAAAGCATGCCTACAAGCAATTAGTGCGGAATCCTTGTGACGCATGGGCGTCGATCCTTGCTGTGGCAAATCCAGAGGACAACAATGTCTACTACTTCGAAGCCATAGCCCTTCCTTTTGGATCTGTTTCTTCAGTCATTGGTTTTAACCGTGCTGCAAGAGCCTTGCGTATGATCTTGACACGTTTGTTCAAGCTTGTGGTTACAAACTTATTTGACGATTTTTGCCAGATCGAGCTGGCGCCTATTTCCGATGGAGCGTGGAAGACGGCAGAGTTGGTGCTCACTTTGCTTGGATGGAGAATCTCCATGGGAGATGAAAAACGAAAGGCCTTCTCGAAAAGGTTCGAGATATTGGGGGCTATTGTGACCTTTCCCCCACCAGGAGGTGAAACCATAGAAGTCACTAACAAGGAGTCCAGGCTTCTGCAGTTGAAACAACAGGTAAATCAACTGAAAGGCTTCCTGAAAGCCACTGCCCCACGGGCGATGCTGGAATCGCTGAAGGGGAGGCTCCTCTATGCGGCAGGCCACACATACGGCCGAACGACACAACTGGCCTGTCAGCTCCTCCACAAATTTGGAGGTCAAGGACCGTCAGTTACAGTGACGCCGGAGTTGGTCCACGTTGTCTCTGAGGCCCTTTCTTTGCTGATGGAGGCCAAACCGAGACTGGTGCAATCCTGGTCCGAAGTGCCGCCCATATTGTTGTTTACCGATGGTGCGGTAGAAGATTCGCTGAAATCAGTCACCCATGGCGCTGTGCTTGTGGATCCTTGGAAACAGCAGAGCTTCTTTATGGGAGATAACATACCTAGCGACTTCGTGCAGCTTTGGACAAGGTCAGGGAAGAAACAGGTCATCGCCCAGGCCGAGATCTTTCCAGTCGTTATTGCGAAAGCGACATGGAGCACATCTTTGGAAGGTAGAAGCATTTTGTGGTTCCTTGACAACGAGAGCGCTCGGATGTCCTTGGTGAGAAATTTTTCCCCCATTTTGGACAGTTTTTTCCTTCTGCAACTGAATGCTCGCATGGACGTTAGCGTCCAATCCAGAAACTGGTACAGCAGAGTGCCATCAAAGAGCAATCCATCAGACAGTGCCTCTAGACTCCAATTTTCGGAGTATCGAAACTCTGCCAGGTCAGTTCCTGACTACTCAATTGCTTTGAAAGCCCTGGAGGACTCTTGGAAGCTGGTTGGATTGATTGAAAAGGGGAGGTGAGCAGCTCCCAAATGTTTGAAAGGTTTTCATTTCCGTTTTCGCCAATTTTCAGTTTGAGTTCACGGTCATGGGACAACAAATTTTTGCAGAAGTGCAATGCGTGTGAATTCTTTGGAAATCATTTTGTTTTCAAATGCAGGTGACAAAGAGTCACCGTCAAATGAACGTTGTTGGCGACTGAGTGAACGCACTCATTGGAATCTCCCCAATTAACAAAGCTGGACAAAAAGTCAAATATTATAAAGTGCGAACTTTAAGAAGTTCAATTACATTTTGAAACGTTTTGTAAGCGCGCTTTCCCACGTCACGCGATAAGGACAATTTCACCGTAGGTGATGGTTCTTTATCGAAAGTAAAGTGGGTTTAAGAATTTTTGAGTGTGCTCAAAAGTTTCTCGCGCTTACATGTTTTATTTTGTGCCTTGAAAGCAAGGACACAAAGGAAACAGTGAAACAAATCTCAAACGTTTGAACACCACTGTCGTTGTTGTTTCAGTTGCTGGTATCTAATGCCTTTGTTTAGTCTCTAAGGCTTTTTAGGTACCAGGTTTTCTTCTGTGAAAACTTCCAACCAACTAAAACAACAACTTGGTTTTAACGTCCCTCGTTTTCATGTTTGGTTGTGTCCAAATCATGTTTGTGTTCAACCGCGCTCGCCTCAAACAGTTTGGGTGGGTGGTGGGAGCAACTGTTTTCCACTTGTAGGAACTCGCGACCCGCCCAGTACCCACCCCGCGAGTTAGGGGGAGGTGAGCAGCTCCCAAATGTTTGAAAGGTTTTCATTTCCGTCTTCGCCAATTTTCAGTTTGAGTTCACGGTCATGGGACAACAAATTTTGCAGAAGTGCAATGCGTGTGAATCCTTTGGAAATCATTTTGTTTTCAAATGCAGGTGACAAAGAGTCACCGTCAAATGAACGTTGTTGGCGACTGAGTGAACGCACTCATTGGAATGTCCCCAATTAACAAAGCTGGACAAAAAGTCAAATATTATAAAGTGCGAACTTTAAGAAGTTCAATTACATTTTGAAACGTTTTGTAAGCGCGCTTTCCCACGTCACGCGATAAGAACCAACTACTACGACCGAGGACTTAGTCGCCAAAATAGCCTTGCGAAACACACAGGTCCACACTGAGCAAGAAGCTTCGCAATACCTTGCCACGTTGGCTACAGTGCACATCGCGTCAAGAGCCCAAATGCCCACATACACGACAATGGTCCAGCACTTCCTCGGCACCCAGCATGTTGGACTACTATCTACCAATGCTCAGCCCTAACGAAGGCTACAATGAAACTGGACTCACCATGCAAAGCGCTGGCCCAGTGATGCTGGAACCTTGCAGATTCTTTTTGGGTTGGTCCTCGCAATTTCGCCACGCACAACCAAGAATAAGAATGAGCTCCCAGCCACCCGGATACACAGGCAGTGCAATCCCAAAGCTGTCGAAGTAGCCTTCCTTTCAGTTCCAGCCATTGAATTCTTTGCCGAAGAACAGTACCAAGCGCTACAGGATTGGTACAGTGCACTAGGACAGGGGTTGACACCAATTGACGCCACGGTAAAGACTGATAGAGGTCCTGCATGACCTATGGATGTTTGGATGCACCAAGCCCACCAGCGAAGTAACCCCAGTCGCACAAACCCCCCTCTGCAGGTACCAGCTAGGCAGAGGAATCTATATGTCCATGCTGCTGTCGAGGGGATGGATGGAGGTAAACGATCATACGAAACTGTGCGTCTAGGGCTGGGAGGACCGTATTTACCGTTCGGAGGACCGTTCGGAGGTCCAGGGCGGCTTGTTGTGTCAGTTGGTCAGTCCATAAGTTGCCTACGGCATGTTCTCCTTTGCCTAGAACTGGCTGAGAATGGCCAGCCCTTCATTGTGAAGGCTCAGCTTGCTGATCCTGCTGTTTCTTAATACTCGGCTTAGAGTTTTAACTCGGCGCGTACACACTGGTTGTTATTATGCGCTCTCTCTTGATCCTCTTTGCGATACGCTTGTCCTCGCGATTCCTGCGTGGTTTGCGCTCTGTATTTAGTGTGCGCGTAGCGATCCAATCTAGAGACTTCTGTTGACATGTTCTGACGAGGTTCTTTATGTTTGGGTTCTTGAGGCTGACTTCTTGCCTCAACTGATTTTGTTTGAACGTGAACCATGTCAGACGTCTGTGAAAACTGAATTTTAATTTTCAATACCTTTTCTTATTTGGATTGTTTGCATGTTGATGTTATCATGCTCAGGGAAAAATCTTTGAAGAATCCTGTCAATCCAAAAACATCGAACTGTTTAACAAACCCCGAATAGTACAGACATGAACGAATATTTGATCGGCCATTTCCTCTACAAGAAGGGTAGGGTAGGGAGGGAGCTCTTTGAATTTGAAGAGCTGTGATTTTCTTTTAGCTGAAGCCATTTCGTTTTCTGAAGCCATATGCGACGTCGTGGCACTCCAGCTGACCGCGGTTGCGTTGCCACTTCTCATCAGATTGTACTGGGTCATTTGCAACAGCAGCATTTACCTTTTTCTCTGTGTAATTTCTGCGCTGGATTTCTTACAGCCTGCGTTTGCATCGCGTGGCTACTGTCTGGGCCTCTAGATGAGTGATAGCACTTCGGACACCACCCACGAGGCAATTTTGCATATTCCGAGGCATCTCCACATCCTCCTCCTTGCAGTGACCTTTGCAACTTTTGCGATTGTACCTGTACCAGGGCAGACAAGCATCGCACCCCTAGGTGTACGCTGCATTGGCGCTCAGTTGATGGTCACGGTGCCTCTTGAGTCGCGGGGGGGCGAGGCCAAAGAGGGTGAGGAGAATGAAACTTCGAGTGTGGCTGGAAGTTTTAGTTTTGCAGCATCACTACCTAGTGCACAGTATGCCCAAAGTGTAGCGTCCCACAACGGTGCAGAAGGTGTACCGTTGGTTTTACCAGAGGTGACAGAGCATGGTACTAGCAGCATTCCAGTGCGGGGTGAACTGCAAAGAGATTTGACTGTGCGCAATGACAGAACTTCACAACAAATTTTTGGTGCTACGTTGATTTTGGCCAGAAATGGAAAACCGGCGCCTCCTATTCAGCTGGGACTGCCGAAGCTTGACTTGGTTTACGTTTTGTTTTGGCTGCCGGTGCTGGGGCGGTTGTCACACACTGGAGATGCGCTGCATGACACGACCTTGAGGATGAGGCCCACTGCTGAAGGAGTATACAACATGGCTTTTGCAAAGAGGCGACTGATGACATCCAAACTGGCAAAGTCGGATGATGCATTGCTGACCTCAGCTGTGAAGAAGCTGAGGAATCTGGTGCCTTTTTGGCCTGAGGACAGCCGCTTGGGGAGAACCTTGTTGAGCTCAGCAGGGGCAGTTGTGGGAGAAGATGTCTTACAACAATCTCTGCGTGACTGCTTTGCTGGTAAAGCAGTTGCAACGCTTGTCAAGAGAGCCTCTGACTTCACCAGGTTTGCAGAATTCCAAGTGACTTGCAACAATGGGAGGCCGCTGAGCCCATCGGAGCACGACTTGTACGCCTACCTGTGCCACTTGTGTCAACCAGGTGCAGGGGCGACGGCAGGTGAGTCCTTCATATCTGCTTGGAAGTTCATGCAGCACACTGTGGGGGCTGGTGCAGGTGGGACGCCAGGCATTATCTCTGGGAGAGTCCGTGGGGCATCCAAAGACCTGATGGCGAAGCAGTGCAAGCTCCAACAAGCGCTGCTGTTGCCGGCAGAGGTTGTTTGGAAGTTGGAGAGCCTGATGACTGATCGGATCCAGCCTGAGATAAAAAGCCATTTTGGGGTTCGTGCTATTTTGTCTGTTTTCCTGCTCAAGATTTGCTGACGCTGCGCATGCTCAGAGGCCGGTGATATCCCAATTTCAACATATCGTTTTGGTGGAATCTTCTGGCAGTGAGTACAAGACAGCGTCTGATGAACGTCGGTCAGTTTTGCTATCATTTGTTGCTCTTGGGACAAGGTTGAGTGGAACAGGCTGGGCGCTATCTTGGATGAGTGCCAGAAGACGGTGTGGACTGGGTGCAAGCGATTGCATGATGCCGGCAGACTATGAAAACCAAAACAGTTGGCTTGAAAGAAGAATGACAACAGCTGAGGTTTCCTACTGGGTGAAGGACCTGCTGACCATGACAGGCATGTCTGAAAGTGAAGCTTCTCTATACTCCACCTACTCTCTGATGAGCTGGGCTGCCAAATCATCGACCTTTGGCTGGCAAGGGAGGTTGGTGCTGGGACACTATTTGGATGAGGAAACCAAAAGGGCTGTGGTGTACTTGAGGGATGCCATTGCTGCAGTGATGGTGAAGGTCCTTGAGACACTGGAGACGATACGGCAACAGATTTTTGACCCAGACGCAAGTCGTGCCGAGAGGAGTGCAATGGCAACCAAGCTTACTCAGCTCCCTGACAATTTACCTGAGCAGAACGACATGGAGTTCGAGCTGAGAAGGAAATTGGTTTTCGACCAGGGAAATAGCCAGGTGATTGAGTCAGATATTGAAGAGGACAACATAGTGGAGAAGCCCATCAAGATTCCAGGTGAGTCTGAAATGCTGACAATCGTGCTTTCCGCCCATCGACCTGGACCAGTGTGTGGTGCACAAATTATCTGGGATAGTGCATGGAAAGGAGACGACCGATAGTCTCTTGTGTGGACGAACGTTGTCCACCAACATGCAACCAGTGGATTTCCCCTTGGAGTGAAGGAGACGCTCATGAATTTTGTGAGCAATGCGATAGGGCACTGTACCGTGCCTGAGACTTTGCGGGTACAAAAGACTTGGCCTGGTGATCATCAACTGTTCTTTCGATGGGAATTGTGCACTTGTTTTGTTTACGATTTTAATCTGACTACGTTTGGAATCTCGACACATCATTTGAAAGAAATCTTTGCTGACAGCCGATTGTGTGCCGATAGTAGCACGTGAAGGTGTCAGGTGAAGTGTGGAATAGTGTTGAAAGATTTGGCATGATCATGCGGTGAAACTTCAATTTGATTTGTGATATGTGCTCAGCAGCGGAAAGTTGCGAATGAAGTAGATGGACGGATGTGAACGTCTTGACAACTTTGAGTTTGCATGCCGCTTCGATCATTTTGCCACTTAACATTGGTTTCATTTGCAATGGGTTTGAAAGCCATCCCTATGCACCTAACTTTCGATCGTTTGCATGATTTAAGATTGACCTAATACGTTCACTGACTAAGGTTTCAACCACTGCTGCCGGTGACAGGTTAGCCGATTGTCTGAGCCCATGGCTTTACTGGAATCTGTGGCAAACTTCAAGGCTCGTGCATTCGAAATAGGCATGGCAGATACCTTGGTGCAGCGGTGGACAGACGCTGGAATTGATACATTTGGTAAACTGGCCTACATTTGCAGAGTGTGCCCAACTTCTGGGGATGACAGACCCTTGAAGGACGCTTTGCAACAGTTGGTAGTTGATGGTGACCAATTGACGCCTCAGGAGCCGATTCTTATTCGACGTCTTTGGTTTGAATCATACACCTTGACAGTGACAGAGATTCAGAATAAGATGCAGAGGAATCCAAACGACACACCCAAGACAATCCCTCTTGCAGAGAGACTGGTTAGGGCTGAAGAGCAGCATGAGCGTTTGAAAGGCTTGATCTATGACCAGTTCTGGGAGCCAGCTTATGCGCTGACAGACAAGGTACAAGCAATGTTTGAGGACGGTGTGGTCACCTACCTAGCTCCCGAGGAATGTGTTTCGAGGCGTGATGAAATTCAGGGTACAAAGAATGATCAACAGTTGACTTTTGATTTGCAAGGCAATGTCAAAGTCACCAAGGCTGAGAGCCAGATGAATTGCGAGATGACCAGTGAGATGAGGTTGAGACAGTGTTTGGCTCAAAAGGCGTTGGCGTTTGATCAGGTCAAGTTGTGCTCGTTTGATGTTATGGAAACTTGGCACAATGCGATGGTACAAGCTTTGATGAGCAAACTACCAGCGGGGCACAATTATGTACCGATTCAGCAAATCATGGCAGCTGACAGAGAGCTTTGGAGTTTCTTGCTGCAGAACACACGTGGCAAGTTGAAGGTGACGGTAGGGCAGCCTCCTCCGCTTGATGTTGAGTTGGAAACTTTTAGAAAGTTCCCTCCAGTGGTATGCTTCATGACGCCGCTGCCAGGACAGCCGCAGAAAGTGGAGACACCCAAAACGCCATTACAGGCAACTCCAAAGCCGGGATCGCCTAAGACCCCGCAGCAGCCCTCAAAGACTCCGTCGGGCACCAAGAGGAAATTTGAGGGATGTGGCACGACAGTGAAAGAGCTGTTGCAGAACTTGCCACTAAACTGCACTTCAAAGACAGGACAAAACAAGTCCAGTTGCTTGCACCTCAACAATGGCACGTGCGAGCGACGGAAGATGGCATCATGCAACATGGGTGCGCATAATTGCTAGCCATTGACCTAGTGACGGTTGGCGTTCTTCAAAAGATGTGACTGTTTTGTGGAACTATGTGCGGGCAGTGCAGTTTTGTCTTCAGAGGCTTCCAAACGGGGTTTCAAGACTTTTGCAGTCGATCATGAAATGAATCGGTTTTTGCATAGCTTCTAGAGCTCGTGAGAAACCAGTTTCAGTGCGAGGGGCCCCTCAGCTGTGGCCGTTGCGTGACCAAAACGACCTTTGGGGTTGGACTGGCGGCGCACTCCTGGTTGTGGGCCATTTTGGCCAGGTTGGTAAAACAACACAACAATGCAGAATACACTGTGTGGTAATTTAATTTGGTCGATGCCAATTTTGATGCGTGTCAGCATGGTAGTTCGTTTGCAAAGACAACCAGATTGAAAGACACTCCAGGCATTTCGACCATTTGGCTGGTCGCTACAGTGGAGATCATGAGCATGCAGAATAGCAGGTTCAGAAGCTTAATTCTTTGTGGGTTTTCAACACTGCTGCCGAAGCTGAGTACACTAAACTGTTAGCTCAGCGCATGGTTGATGCGGTTGTTGCGCAATTACCATCAGGTCTTTTGGACTTCACATGCTGACAATTTAGACTGGACTTGCAGCAACAGGCTGACAAACAGCGTCGATTGGCACAACAACTTATTCTGGAATATCAAGAGATTCTTTACGCTGATGCGCCTCGATCCTATGACAGGGGCATTCAAAATTTTGGGTGAGCCTTCAACTGCGGGGGACAACTACAAAGGCCAACTGCTGAAACAAAGTACAAGATTGGGTTTTATTTTTCACCTGCAGAGCACTCTAACAGGGCCATCCAACTAGAACACCCAGCGTTGGAGTTCCACGTGGTCACTGACGTGCTGAGGGTCAACTTCTTTAGGCTATGCACTTTAAAACACCCAGCGTTGGAGTTCCACGTGGTCCCTGACGTGCTGAGGGTCAACTTCTTTAGGCTATGCACTTTAGGGCCTCATGCAATGGCCCAAATGAGAATCTCTGCGCTGAAGGATGTCATGAAGTTGAAACTGGAAATGTCAGTGCAAGAGAAACGAATAAGAGAAGGCATGGAAAACTAGGTGAAAGTTGGGAAAGCCCTTGTTATTGTAGAGGAAGCTGCGCGAAGAAATGGCTTTTCCCGATTTGAACGTTTGCAAGTAAATGGAAGAGGGCGTGCATTGACAGGTCTTGGAGACCCTTCTCCTCTTTATATGACAGCGTTTGGGCTCTGACCAATGGGGCTTGGCCAAAAGATTTTGCCTCCATCAAGGGGAAGAAAAGAAAATTAGAGTGATTGACAACTACAGAGATTCTGGGATTAACTCTGCTTGCGCTTCTTCTTCATACTTGCTATTGCAGGACACGGACTTCATAGTAGGACTGCTGAGATTCATGATGTGTGTCTGTGCACGCCGTGACAAGGTGGAGGTGCACTTGAGCTCTGGTGAGGTATTGGAGGGAGAGTGGAATCAAGCAATGCTGTCGAAACCTAGCTGGTGGGGTAGATGCGTCAATATTAGCGAGGCATACAAACAGGTGCCTATCCACAAGGATTCCTTGGTACGGGCTTGATGAACTTTGCTGGAGGTTTTGTCCGTGGACATCGATTCAAACTTGGCACCAATGCTTTGAAGGACTAGGTTTATCGCAGAGGGGTGTCTGGAGTTGAAGCACGACAGGTTCGCAATTACCTGGAAGTGATTGCCAAGTCGGTGATACCTCGTGTGATTGGGCTTCAAGTTCTGACACACCTGTGTTTATTTACAGCGATGGGGCGTTTGAAAGAGGTACTGGAACATGGGGCGCTTTCGTTTACGACCCCTTGGACAACAAGTGATGGTTTTTTTTGGGGACGGTTCTTGATATGCTCATGCGGTTTTGGATTGAAGCTGTTGGTGAGCAACTCATTTGCGGAATCGAACTCTTTGCTTACATTTGCATTCGCTGGCCTCACGGACATTTGCTGCATAGAAGATATGGTTTAATTTTCATTGACAATGAGTCATCAAGGATGACAATGATAAAGCGCAGCTCAGCTTCCAGCACAATGTTTCTCTTGGTATCCCTGATCAGCCTCCTTGACGCCATCCTTCCATCAGTGCTTGGTGTGAAAGGGTGCCCGCAACACCCACCCGGCTGACTTACCAAGTAGGAGTGACTCTGAAACTTTATGCTGAATGTTTAACGCAGTGAACCTAGGCGACATGCCGTTGCCTCCATACATACTCAGTTTTCTCATGCGAAAGCAGTTTGGTGTGGACCTGGCTGAACTAGTGAGATTCGAAGCGGTCAAGGATCGCGTGCGGCTGGACTGAGGGGGAAAGAGCAAGCCACTTTGGTCGAACTGTGACCTTTGAAACCAAAAGATATGTCTACTCACTCGACTCTGAGTGGGGGGACGTGAAAACCTGCGGTTGCGGAAACTTTCAACCGGACTTGACGTTTTTCCCCCGACAAGTCGCTGAAGAAAAAGAAAGTGATTGCTGCACGATCTACCTTGTCACGTGTCCGAACTTTTTCACTCATGTTGCTGCTTGTTTTTAATTTTCGTATTTGTAAATTCGATTGGCGAGCGAAAACGATTTCAGACGGAAAGTTTGGCGTGAGCGATTCGACGACGTGATTTCTGATTTTGTGCGGTCTGCATCATATGATACTGACTATTGTTTTATATATGTGTTTTAAATAAACCTATATTTAATGAGTGCTTTACTACCAGTGTGAGAGTGTTAGAAACGTGAAGGCTCAGCTTGCTGATCCTGCTGTTTCTTAATACTCGGCTTAGAGTTTTAACTCGGCGCGTACACACTGGTTGTTATTATGCGCTCTCTCTTGATCCTCTTTGCGATACGCTTGTCCTCGCGATTCCTGCGTGGTTTGCGCTCTGTATTTAGTGTGCGCGTAGCGATCCAATCTAGAGACTTCTGTTGACATGTTCTGACGAGGTTCTTTATGTTTGGGTTCTTGAGGCTGACTTCTTGCCTCAATTGATTTTGTTTGAACGTGAACCATGTCAGACGTCTGTGAAAACTGAATTTTAATTTTCAATACCTTTTCTTATTTGGATTGTTTGCATGTTGATGTTATCATGCTCAGGGAAAAATCTTTGAAGAATCCTGTCAATCCAAAAACATCGAACTGTTTAACAAACCCCGAATAGTACAGACATGAACGAATATTTGATCGGCCATTTCCTCTACAAGAAGGGT